CGGAAGGGGTGGGGAGGTGAGAGAGGGAGAGGTAAGGGAGGAATGGATGGTGGTGGGGGGTGTCAAGGTCTGAGGTAATCCGTCTGGGGGGTTGGTTGCTTCAGTGTCCATGTCCATAAGCTACAACAGCTGCTACAGCATCTGCGGCAGCTGGCCACACTATACACATACACACATACACACATACACACACGCAAAAACTGCTCCATGAAGCCGTGAACTGTCCATTCACTGACGTGAGCCGTCACTGAGCGGGGTTGGCCCCCAATCATTGCGACTGCTACTGCTACTGCTGCTGCCACTGCTGCTGCTACAACCGCCCAACAACCCCGTGACCCCTCGCGCCCCTCGTGCCCCGCGCGTCCCCGCAGATTCAGCGACCCAGCCGCCCACCGAGATGCGAACACACCGACCTCTTCCCTGAATCAAGCGCACCGACCTCTTCCCTGAATCAAGCGCACCGACCCCTTCCCTGAATCAAGCGCACCGACCTCTTCCCTGAATCAAGCGCACCGACCTCTTCCCTGAATCAAGCGCACCGACCCCTTCCCTGAATCAAGCGCACCGACCTCTTCCCTGAATCAAGCGCACCGACCCCTTCCCTGAATCAAGCGCACCGACCTCTTCCCTGAATCAAGCGCACCGACCTTTGTTTGGGGGGGTCTGCTTGGCGCCACCGCCACGTACTGCATCACCTCTCTGCTTATTATCTCCTGACCGGTTAGAGTGGCTGCGGCGTCCTGGATATGACATAGAAGACGAAGCGGACACACAGAGGAACAGACAGACAGACAGACAGATACACAGACAGATAAACAAACAAACAGATAGATAGGCAGGCAGACAGACAGACAGACAAATAGATAGACAAGCCCGTTATGTTCGCTTCCATCTATCAAGTTTGTGACTCAATAAGGCGAGGCGAGGGAAGGCAAGTTCAGTTGAATCAGACGGGACATGGATGCAAACAGAAAGGCTCACACAGCTTCAGGGAAGACCTTTACTTTTGCCTTACATTGCGGCACGTTAGGCAAAGGTACGGCAGGGGGGAAAGGGAGAGAGTGGACGGGGAGAGGTGTACGGCAAATGGTGCAAGCCCGTCAAAATCCGTTGGTTATTGCTGGCCTCAGTCTCCCCGTTTTTTGGTCCTCGCATATATCCCCTCAGCACTATATCCGTTTATTATTTCCCCTGGCACCTCTCCTTCAGTCTCCGGTGGTTCGTAGTCTTACGTCTTAACCCCCCTTTCCCTTCTCCTGCCCCCCTTATCGCCTTCCTTTTCCAACTTCGCCCCCAGCCTCCCCCCGGCACCGCCCCACTTTCGTCCTTCTCCCCTGCCCCCATCCCCGCCCTTTGCCACCGTAACTAAGGATAGGCGGTCTTCATTCCGACGGCCTGTGATCCGATTCCAATTCCCCCTTCTGCTTCCACCCCCCTGCGCTGCTGGCACTAGGCGCGATCCTGGTGCCTTCCACACAGGTCACGCCCTTCCCGCGCCGCACCGCATCGCGCCAACCCAACCCTGAACTTCCCTTCCAGATACATTTATACAAATCTGCGTGGGTTTTTGATAGGCGAGTGGGCGAAACCCCAGCGGGGTCCGCGTGTGCTTCAAACGGGGGTCTTAGGGTCCTTTTCCCCCCGGATTTCGCTCACCCCGAATTTTAGTCGCATCCGTACTATGAGCTCCTGAGCCATCGGATCCATAAGCATCCCTCCAGCTGTCCTCTGCGCCGCAAAAGATTTCAAGGTTGGTCGGCGCGACAGTGTTCGCCACGCGCGGCATGATGCCGGCGAATCGCGGACATGCTGTCCTCAGCGTCGCATGTAGCGACTTTATCAAGTAAGCTCGTACCGCTGTTGGTCCTCTTTTTGGTGCGCTTGTTGAAACCCGGCCCGCCGTGGGCAGGGAGCCCGAACGCGTTGGTGGCGCCCCTCCAAGCACAGCCAGCCCCTTTGTTGGTGGCCTATCTGCCATTTTCCTATTCTATAAGTAGCAAAGAGCACAGAAAATATGTAAAGAAATTAAAAAAGCTTTCTCAGCAAGTAACGCCGTGGCAATTGTTTAATGGCGAAGGCAACCTAATGACTTTGTCATCTACCTTAGGTTAATCTTGGTACGAGCATTTGAGCTATGGTTGTGGAATAGTTTGTAAAACTTGGCTGCGACACCGTGTGTCCTTCGGTACTTGGAACAGCTAGGTATGATGCACGGCTCGTCCAAAACATACCCTCCCGCGTTTCATATTCGGAGAAGGCTAACGCTAGAGTTAATTTCTATGCATTTGATGATTGATGTTCCTTTCGTGGCGCTGTACACATTTCGTGCCATAACTGCTTTGTACCGTACCCGCCCGAAGGGGAGTGAGTATACGACCCTAACTTTTTTAACACGTTGCTGTTGCCAGCATACAACCATGTAACATTTCTCTTGATATTTGCAGGATTCCTTGCCCTCACGGAATTGGGTCTATGACACAGGAAGGTCCACTTTAGGTAGCGAGGTCACATGTCCACCTAGCCTCGTCGGACCTCCGCATTTCGCCACACATAACATGGAGGGCGCTGATTTTGACTTCATCCTCTCCTTTCATGCCGGTCAAGGCGCAAGTGCAATCAGTCGCAGCTGGGAAATCACTGGCAGCCTTATGCCAAACGTGTCCACATCCGACATACGCGGCCATCTTCATTATTCACAAATAATGCAGCTTGGCTTGCCATCCCACGCTCAAGCCTCATCTAGGCCGCGCCCACAACATGCGCGCGCGGACAAAGGCTGACGGCCCAGATTGACCTTACCCACAACCGCTGACAGCCAAGCCATAATTATGTGCAGAAAAGACGTGGCGATATGACTGAGGGATTTCTTCTTGCAGGAACGTCTTCCCAGGGACTGCGCCTTTAACAGCTCCTTTGAGGACAGCGCCCGCCGCCGCAATCAGTAGATGGCATCTCCTCGTGGACCAGAGACGCGTTCGGGCACGGAAAACGGCTTCAGTACACTTCAGATTTTCTCCCATCAGCCCCCCCTTTTGAAAGACGTGGCGAAAGTGCAACTGCGAAACACCCTTTTCCCCCACGGCAGCGGACAAAAATCACGGTTGTTACTTATCCGCAATTTCGCGTGGTGCAGAGTTACAGAGTACCTCTGCTCTACATCATAAAGAGAATCCACAGCGCTTCTGATTTCATTTCAAACTCTCACCCTCTCCTCTCCACCCCTTTTCTAGGCCTTCAGGCATGGAGCAGCTTTCGGGAGAAAAGCAGTGCAAACACTTTTGGCGCGAAGCCGACACATTCAAATTCAAAACCGAAATCGATTACACCTCGGCATTAAAACGTTTCCCTGCAAGGCCGTGCCCTCCCCCCAATGCGCCGTGTCTGCGTTCGGACCTATAGTTTCGGGCATTCACAGTCTCTTATAAAGTGTACGCGTAAATTGAAGCCAAATTACAGATGAACGCACGCAGGGTGTGACGGAAGAGCGGGGGAGATGGAGGGGGAGAAGGAGGAGAGAGCGGGGGAGAGAGCGGGGGAGAGAGAGAGAATCACACACGCGGCTTCCCTAACACCTGAGCCCAAGCTTCCTCGGACAGAAGGGGCCACGGTAGGGACTTCCACAGAGGGGCGGAGAACGGCACTTCTACACTCCCCAAGCTGTCCCCCACGCCATCGCCTTGCCTCAGTCGCCAACGCGGTAACCACCACCGGGGGGGCCTTATATCCCTGCATACCTGCGTTGAGGATGACTCAATCAGGATGCCCCACACCACACTACTACACCACATTACTACAAACTACACCACTCCTATATATTGAGATAAGAGAGGAAAGAAGTACGACGAGGCGGCAAGGTGGATATGCGAGGCGAACACCTAGGGCCTGGCAAGGAGTGTCGTACACAGCCAGCCAACCCCGAAGATTGCTCAGCAGCCGGCAGCAGCCACATGGGGGAAAGGGACGGGAACGACACACGTAATACACAAACCCGGAAGGCCCTGCTGCGGGCGGTACGCTGTACGACATGACGAGGGACACACACAAACACACACGTGCTGTGCATGATCACTTGCTTCGCCGCACAAGCATCGCCCCTACAGCAGACAGACAGACAGGGGGCAGCCGTCAGACAGGCCCCTTAAGACTTCCCTCAAGTGACATCTCCCTTCCCCATGGTCCCCGTTATGTACCCTCAACTGTACGATACCGTACTGTACGGCAACCAACGCAAGAGTATGTGCCCGCGTGTGACTTGCGACACAAGCAAAATCTGACCGTGGACGTGTGCGTGCCAAAAGAAACACACACAAAAACACACACGCGCATACGCACACACAAAAAACACGCACTCACACGCCAGCGATTGGGCAAAAGCACAGAGCGGATAGCAGGTCAGTAGATCAGCAGCGCCATCACCATCACCACCACCATCACCACCACCATCACCGCAAGGCCCAGGTGAACCTCTACCTCCCTTTGCACCGTACCAACAGCTCCACACTTCCAGTGCCCAACCGCCAGCGCAACCACCACCAACAAACTAACCAACTAATAAAAGTCGGTGTCAACGGAGAGGTCGGAGACCGCTCAGACAGATAACAAACACGAATTAACTGAAGAACAGTAAACCGTAACTCCTAACAAACAACACCGTACCGCGTATAGTGCACTTCAAAGCGTCCTTTAGCGAACTAAAAAGCTGAATATATATCCAAGGTATTTCCCAGTTCTAAATTCCGGTATAAGAAGGTATTATGGCGCCACGACGAAAGGCGACTTGACCTATCTCATATATGAGATTGCGCTGGTGTTTATATCTCCCCCGCAACAATATTTCTGGATTTTAACAATTTGTGCATAGGGTTGCGTGTAAATGCATCCCCTCCTCCTTTCCCCCCCTTCCCCCCACCCCCCCACACACAACAGAAAAATAAACCACAAACCTGTTTTTTTTCTGGATCCTGAAATGTTAACGGTAAGAGAGGATTTACTTTTCCCTTGGTCCACCCGCCGTACACACATACATACGCACATACACGCACACACGAACCCAACCGCCACCCGGGCTCTGGTCGCTAAAAACGTTGGACTCTGCGGCTGTTCCTACCACAATTTAAAAAGTCAAATCGCCAACGGACACAACCGCCAACGGACACACCACCGCAATCAGCAATGTACGGCGCGCACGCCCGTGCTCAGGTTCAAAGCACAGCCAAGGCCGTGTTTCTGTTACCGTACAGCCATCGTCCCTTGTTACTGTACGGCCATCACCACGCACACGTACAATAGTACGACGCACATTACTGAACCAAACTGTAGAGGCCGAGCCGAGAGCAGCCACGTGGGTGTCGTACATCGCGGTGCCCCTTAGTATTCGCCCTCCTCGTACTCGTCGTCGTACTCGTCAGGTGAAATGGGCGCGATTTCCCCCGTAAACCATTCCACCGCGCGAGGGATGATCTGGAAAGGTGGGGGTTTGGAGCGCGGGTGCGGGTTGTGTGTGGGTTGTGTATGGTGTGTACGTGTGTGTGTGTTTTGTTTGCATGAAGGGATTGAGGAGAAGAGCGAAAGAGCCAAAAGACAAGAAAAAATGGGTCGGGCTCGCGATGCATTAGAGAACCAGAACGGGGACAAGAAGAAGCGTTCTAGCTGCAAGACCGCTGCGCCTCTGCTATCCTTGCGGTTCTTCTTTTTCTTTTCCTTCTTTTTCTTCTTGGGGATAACGAGGGCTGTGGGGAAGATCCACCCACCCCTCAGGTGGGTGAGTGGGTGGGAGCTGGCGACACCGGGAACCAATCTCCCCCCCCCCCCAACGGCTTGCATGGCTGACATCTCCCCCCCCACACACACACATCTATGATTTACCGGAGTCAGCTGCTCCGCCTTCTAGCCCCACACACCCCGCCCCGAGACATATTCAGCCAAAAAATCACCCGTCCCCCCCCACGCCTCCCCCCTCCCGCTTCCGACTGCACCCCGGCTCCACTAAAACCCTAAGCTCCGCAAACCCGCCTCGTCCTCCTCCTCCCCATTCAGATGGCCCGGCTGCACAGCGCCGCATGGCCCTAACACAAAACCCCCACCTAAACACCGTGCGCACCGTCATTCCCCAGCTACTCCTCCTACCTACCTACCTACCTACCTACTTATCAAGAAAAATCTATACTTTAGAAAAAACCCGAACTGTAAAACCCTTTCACCTGGTCCTTAATCGCAAATCCAATGTCGAAGTCGTTCGCAAGCGCCTCCTCCACCTCCTCCAGCTCCTCCTCGCTCATAATGGTGGCCTGGGCCTCCGTGGGAACCTGTACGGACAGTACGGCAGTACGACAGACAGTACGGCGGGGCAGTAGCAACAGAATAACACAATATATATATCACCTAAGAACATAATCTAAGAAGCAAAGGGCTAGCAGCTCGTTCGTCGTCTCAAGCGCCTGACGTGTCGCCGGGGCGGGCGGGGCCCCCTCCCCCCCCTCCCACGTGAACACGGCTCTCTCTCGCAAACGAGCGCGGATTGGAAGACCCAAAAAAGGTTTCACATCTCCTCCTCCTCCCGATTTATCATCCACACGCTCTGCACTTTATTTACAACCGCTACAAATAATAATGTTGTCGTACAACGCCGTGCATTTAAATAAACAAGTAGTCATGTCGTACAGAGTTGCATGTACGGATGTACGAGCAGTACATGTGGTATTTCATAGTCTTTTTCTAGTATTTTACCTTTGGCGGGTCGAAGATGGTGAAGAACGAGTCGCAGGGAACCTTCTCCACAACGAAAGCTGGTTTGGACTTGTCGCCCTGCGGGTGTGTGGGTGTGGGTGTGGGTGTGGGAAGACGAGCCACCACACGAGCGAGTGAAGCTGCTGCCAAGGGGGGAAAGAGTGCTGCAGTGCGGCCGATGTAGGCAGGAAGCAGAACTGACCAGTCGGCGGTTGGGGTTGGGAGGGTGTTGGGGGGGAAATCAAATTCGAGGAAAGATGGGGAAAATGGGAGCGGGGGCTGTACGATGAAGAGCAGACGATTGAAGGAGGAGGGGGATAAGACGAACCATTGAAAGGAAGAGGGGGCCGAAGATCGGGGTTTCGGAGCTGTAGAGGTAATCGTTAGGTAATTGTTGTTCCATGAAATGAAGAGAGCTCCACCACCACCGGAAGGGTGCCATATGATTCTTCTTCAACGCGGGGCCGCAGCTTCAGTAATGATAGGCAGCAAAGGTGGTCTGATCACATCTCCTACAACTATACAGCATCATTCGTACACATTCACCGGAACAGGAACGATAACCCTCGGAAAGGCTAGCGGCGGTTTGTATATATGTGTGTGTGTGTGTTTTGGGGGAAGAGAGGGGATGGAGGGGGGAAAAGAGCCAGGGGAGGGCGAGGAAGACAGAGGGCAGAGGTAAACTGGGCACCCTCACACTGCGGTACAATACATCTCACTCCACCTTCTCATCCCGGCGCACTTGCCCCCGGCCACCCACTCCCCACACAAGCAGACATACACACACACGCCTTCCCCCTCTTTCCCCGCCACGGACGGCCCCCCCCATCACCCCGGCCTCCGCAACCCTCCTCATCCCCCCTAGAACCCCACCCAAACCCACACCACTACGCTCCGAAACCATCGCCCCACTCTTTCACTTCCCCCCCCCCCCGCGTCCCTCTCCCCCCCCTCACCTTGCCCCCCTTGACACGCCTCTTGCTCTCCTCCACCGTCACATCCCGACCGGGCTTCCAGGCGATGGCGGTGCCCGTGAAGTTCTTCGGCACAACGTCGTCTTCGGGCTCCAGCACGTAGACCTTTTCAAGGACCTAGACAGCAAATTGCCGTACAATACACACGTGCGTTACTGCCGTACAATACACACATGCAAAGGTACCACACAAACATCTCCTTATATGAACACCCTCCCCCTTCCCCTCCCCCTTCTTCTCCCCCTCCCCCTTCCCCCTCCCTCCGTACCTTGTTAGAGAAGTGCGGGTTATCCGCACGGAAGTAGAACAGCAGTTTGAAGCCCCGCTCCTCACCCAAGAGTACCTCGCTGCGAATGTCCTAGGGGGGAGAGTCGGAGCCGAGAGGACAGCGGGGGTGGGGTGGGGTGAAATTGGCGGGAAGGGGAGGGGAGGTTGAGGAAGGGAGAGGCTCAGGGGGGTAGAAAAGAGGGCAAAGAGAAAAGGGGCCTTCGCGGTAGTGAATGAATGTCGCTCCATGTAATTCAATTGTATATAATTAGTATATATGTATATAGGGTTTGGCACCACTGGTAAGGCGCGACCATTGCCCCCGGGAGATCCCGGGATCGATACCCGTTCGGGTCAAAGACCTTCCCATGGTGGAAGGCATTGCGCCCCTAGTTGATGGACGGTGGTGACCTGGGATAAAGTTAACCTGCGCGCCGACCTTGAGCCGCTGTCTACCCGGCAGATTCCGTTGGACGCTGGTGGTGGGTGCGGAACCTGAGCGATCCACTGAGAAGTTGACTAGGGTGACTGGATGAGGGTGCCCCGAAATACCGGGGAAGGCAGGGTTTCGCAGGGTAGCTGCCACGGGCGAAGATACACCCCCCTGTTTCACACATCATATACATAGGCCCTCAGGCTTTTACGGACACCCCCGCATTTGTGCGGAACTTGTAACTTGCATACTGTAACACATATAAAATCCAATTCAGCTGCACGCAAATTCAAAAAAAATTAAAACATACTTCATATACCTTCAAGGACTCCGGCACAAAAAAAAAGAAACAAAATGGCGGCGCATTTCCCCTTTCCCCCCTTTTCCGTTCCGTACTGCTCTCCGTACTTCTCGCAACCAACCAATATACTTTCCGCCAAAGCCAAACCGCCAGCCGAGCCGCCTCTCTCACCTCGAGGTATTTGAGGACTTCGCTGTCCCGCTCGGTGATGAACGCCCCCACCTTGTTGTGGTTGGCGAGCGCGTTCAGCCAGAACTCAGGTACGGGGCCGTCTGGTGACCACGGCCGGTAGTGTCGACAGCGGCAGCGACAGGAAGGGGAGAGAGGGAGGCGGAGGGAGAGAGGGAGGCGGAGGGCGAGGGAGAGAGGGAGGGAAGGGGAAGGGGAGGGAGGGAGGGAAGGGTTATGGACTTCTGGTCCCAAGCGGCGGGAAGAGACCCAGCGCCGCTTTTACCTTGCTACTCGTCCGTCGAAACTAAGTACACAACCGCCCACCTGCGCACACAGACCTAAGCACACAGCTAACAAGCCAATATATCATGCAAACATCTTAATAGGCAGTTACCCTCTACCTTCGTTGGTGGAGTTGTCTGTACGACATCCCTAGCAGCTCCCCCTCGCGGCTCCATCCACTAAAACACAATGTACGACACTCAAAGTGGGTTCAACCGCTGCTCACCGGGTTCTCCGTCGTCCTGCAAATCGTACTTCTCTGTGATGGCCGTCTTCCCAGTGAAAATATCACGACGCTCGTCAAAGATGGGGACTGCAATGTGTACGGCAATGAATTTGTGTACGGCAACGTTGGATACGTCAGCGGCAAGTCGTTCAGTGTCGACGGGAAGACATCAGTCTCTCTGAGTGAAATGTTTTTGTTCACAAACCCAGTGCTCGAACTGGAAGTTGTGAATTTACGGAGGGAAATGCAATTTGGCGGGAAGACTTTTATGGACTTAGGCACTTGGCAACAGAACCGCGGACTTGTGCAGCGAACTTCAGTGCAGCAGCAGAAGGCAGCGCGATGGAGAGGCTTACCGTATTTCCCATTGTACTTGTGCTGCAGCGCCGCCAACTCCTTCTGGTACTCGTTATGAATGGCGTCGTACTTCTTCTGGACTTCCTTCATGGCCAACACGCGGCGACGCTGCGGGACCGTGAGGTCCTCCATGGGATCGTAGTCCATGCCCTCATCCAGCTCGGGCTCATCCTCAACGGGTGGCGGGGGAGGCTGCTTGCCCTTGGGCGCAGCAGCAGCCGAAAAGCCCTGCAGGAATAAACGAGACGTAGAGCGGCGTTTGCTTGCGCGCTTATGGATGGGATATCGGTCGCGAAAACAGCGGAAGTGGATTGCAAGCGACATTTCAAATTGGGAACACAGAGACAAAGCGACTTGACTACTTTTCGCCGGTACCGGTGCAAACATTTCAGATGTACATACCAGTGATCTTTGGCTAACCGCGGGTCGCCCGAAAAGCGCCTTGGTGGGCCTGCGTCGATGAGCAGCCGCCGTCAAGTCACGAAAATGCCGGGACAGTCGCATCCAAACAAGAACTCATACATCCCATCAGATTGCAAGAACGCATAACGTTGTATTAAAACAAACCTGCTAGAGACTACGTGGCTGTAAATTGCGCTAGCCCTGAGCGCTTGACGGGTGAGGAGCGCAAGAGCCATTGTTAATAACTAGAACGGAGGGAGGGATAACGCTTTGCTTGTAAAGAAGGCTACCGATTCCATTCCTTGACTGAATGCAACGATGCCAAATTGTTGTGCCGTACAAACCCACAATCCGTTAACTAACCATTCTTACACACCATCGCGCCATGTTTCTCCCTTGCCACACGGCTACACCTATAGCACGGCTGTTCACAAATAGCTCCTTAGAAAATTCACCATCTCACGTTCTCAGCACAGGGCAACACTGACTCAAGTGTCTGAACATAATTCGACGCGCAGCTGAAACCCAAATGTTTAGCGTCGACACATTCGCTATCGTGCTTGCTGCCTTTCCCATGGGTTCACAATCCGCAATATCACGCGGCACCCTTTGCGTGGGCAGTGGCGGTGTACATGCTTTGTCTGAAATGCAAGGTAGGATGGTGCTTACAGGCGATCTGGCAGCCCTTGCGCCCACGGCTTGTATCGTGAGGTTTGCAGGTTTGGGATACACCCCCCACGACTATGTAACACACACACACATATTTTATAGCTAGGGTCACGGTAGCGTGTGCTGAACGCATGGTCTCGCTGAACCCAGTTAGGGCATGCACCCCTGTTCATATCACTTCGGACCAAGTGGTTGAGCAACCGAACGAAAGCGCAGCATATCTGCGATTATAGGAGCTGTTACTGCTAATTACATGCTAAATCAGTTGCGGGTAAACGTTGTTAGTTGTTGCCTCAGGGGAGCACGTCCTTCCGTTTACAATTTACAAATTCCACCACGGGACTCTGGAGAGCTAGGGCAGGTTCCAGCCCCACCCACACTAACACCACGCTTCTTTAAAATCAGCTAACCACATGCCGTTCGCCTAATCGTCCCCCTGCTCGTCTTCAGGAAATCTCCATGCAAGCCCGAGGGCCCTGTGCCTTATTTTTCCTCAAGGATATATCTCTACGCGTAAACTGCGCGTCAGCCAAATTAGATGCCATGCTAGAGTATGACAGGATAGGGAGCCCCATCCGTCGTGCGTATGGCTGCCTAGGTTCCAGGAGGTACCCCCGCGCCGGTGTAGCTAACAAAATACAGCGCTCAAATACTAGCAAAAGGAATAGGAGCGGGTGCAAAGAATTGTCCACGCGGGACGGCGGCGTGGGGAGTCAAGGATGCAAACTGGCGACACTGTATATCACAAGGCGAGTCAAGGGATGCTCCGCAACAAACTTGCTGCATCCATATGTGGAAGACGCGACTAGTGATACACCGAGATACTGTACACGAATGCAAGTCGGGGATGTTCCCACACAGGGCACACGGACAGGGTTCCCATGCTGCAGCAGTAAGGGTACCGTCCTTGTTCAAAACCCTAGGCGCTAGCCCAAGGCAGGCAAAACGTCGTAAGCTGTCGGGAGTGTCACGACTGATAGCACGAGCCGTAACCTTGGTACTGATGGCTTCATGCAAACAGCCAGCGGAAGTCCATGTCAATCACAACCGCGGGCGAAGGTTGTCATTCAAAGTTGAGCTTCATGTTCGGGAGGCAAACTCCGTGCGCGCCCAAGTAACTACAGTCTTGAAAACAGAAAGTCCCATCGCAGCAAGGAGGACGACGGGCGTCAGGGCTGTCATGAGCAAGGCCGTCAGAGCTTCAAGACCAGTCTCCAAAACCCTTGTCGCTGTGGACTTAACAGGCGCCTTGCTCTCCGAGAAAGAGATTGAGGAAGTGGCCATGTCCAATAGTCCTAATGTAAGGAGCGTTCCTGCATTAAGGTTACAGCCAAGAAGGCCGGGTCAAGAAACGTCCGAAAGAACTTTGCCCAGGACACAGTGGACTCACCACGCCCGGCCCAATTTAAAGTTCAGATACAGCGACGATACTCACAAGTGCAGCTACAAGTACCAGACCGCGAGGCTTACCAACGCGAGCTTCTCCAAATGGGTAACGCGGAGCTTGGAAGCTGGGTCTATCAGTTGACGGCTGGAGACCTCTTACGAACTCAAAGAGCTATGCGTAGGAACTTCGTATTAGAAACAGTGACAATTACATTAAAACTGCATGCTCTCGGGTCTTTAATCCACGCCGGATGACAGTCGTACAGTATAAGTAGCCGGCCTGCCACGTCAGTTCCACGAGGCTCGCAACCCCGCCGCCGTTAGTAACTCGTTTCGGGGAAGAATAGGTGCACTTTCTGTCCTCAAGTCTTGGAAGTGGGCCGTGGAATTCTCTCGGAGCGTGTAGCGGATGCCCTTCATATCGTATAGTAAAGTTGTGCCTCCAAGACAACATGTCATGTAGGTAACTACGAAAGCCTGTGGATAGCTTCGACTGTGCAGAGCCTTGAACATTGTCGGAATTCATGGTTGCTAACGTTCCTGCGTTCCGACCAATGCCGGATTTTTTTTATCCTTAGTCGGAAGCCCAAAGGTTGGCATGTTAGCAACGTGTAGAGTTTGTATTTAGCGCTTTCCCTAGCTCTAATAGCTCCCCGACGAGACCTGCCAGCAGTCGCGTATGTTACAGTGCATACTTATGGCACATGCACGCATAGGCTTCTGCTGTCGGAGTGGCAAAAAGGAGGAAGAGCAGCTTGGAAGGGCCACGGATGCCGCGACTACAAAGCGAAGCCTGCCGTTGTCCTTTGACGTGTGGTCCCATAAAGGGGATGCGGATATACCCCCAAGAGCAAGCCATATTCATGTAAACTGCCATTTAATGTGGGCCTTATCAACAGATAGGGGCCACTAACGTTGCCCAAACCGAACTCAAAGCCAATCCCCGCCATGCGTTATTGGTAACAAGTCGTCATCCGAACCCGGCCTTCAAAAGCCACCCTACACCGTCCGTGCACCACCGTCAATCCAAACCCCGCACGCACTCCCTGGCGCTACCGACCTCCCGCATTCCCTTCGAACCCAAGTCCCCCCTTCCCCAACCCAAATCAGGTGCACACCGCCGCTGCTGTTCTCGCGTCCGAATTTACCAGGCACCCCACTGCACGCCCACCTTTCTTCATCGTTGGTTTATCTATGTTAAGTGCGCATGGTAGGGCATCTGGAATACTTCCCGTCCAACCCTCCCCCAGACCCGCCGCACAGCAGTCCATGAGTTAAGTGACGTTTCCGCAGAGCCCGAAACCCGAATGCGGCGCAGCAGCCAAGAAATTTTCCGAAACCCCGTTCTCGCGTGATTGACCACTCTCCACTGCTCTACGAAGGCACCGAAAAGAGACGCAGGTTGTGATCCGCTGCCCCGACCATCAGCGCCCGTGCGTCCGGGCCCCACCGCAAAGCAGCAGCCCGCTTGGGAACGTCCGCCAGAGTCTTGAGCTCCGACCACTGCTGCTTCTGTGGGGCGCAAACCACAACAGGCCCGAACGAGCGAGTTTCCAAAAGGCACGTTCCGGAAAAGACGAGAAGGCAAAACGAGACGACAACAGCAAACAGAGGCGTGAAGCCAGAGGAAGTCGCTGTACGTAATCCACGAAGGACCGGTGGGAATCATCAGTCGTATTGCCTCCTTCCTGTCCTCCGCTGCCCGCGGCACGGAAACCAGCTATACCATCTACCAGGCATGGAAGACACCAACCCGCGCCGAATACACCAAATCCTAAGCAAACGGAACACCAAACCGCGTCTCGTACCTGGCCGTAGATCTTGACTACCGGCCCACCAACCGCCAGAAATTGGCCGCTGTGGTCAAATGCCACCGACGCGCAGGGGCCATCGGAGAAGGGCTCTATCGTCCTGGAGGGATAAAAATATCAAAGGAAAAAAGAGGCGAGCAGCAAAGGCATGCTTGTTCGCTAGTTCGCATTGCCTCTCTGATTTTCTTCTTCAGTATGCTATGCTATGCTATGTTAGACAGGACTCTGCACTCCGCCTGGTATCATGGGACAATGGGACAACCACCAGATAGACACTGCTACCTGGAATACCGCGATATGACCAACTGAAAACCAACAAACTAAACAACCAAACCCACTCCTGAGATTTACATCCATAATGCTACACGCTACGCAAGACTGCGCGCCTCCTCGTTTGATGCTATCGCTACAGAAGCTTGCATGCAAGCAAAAATTCCGTTTCGGACAGCCAGCCAGCGAGCCACACATAAACACGGGATCGCCATCACCCGAGGACGCTCAGCTGCAATACAACACTCGAGAAGTTGTGCATGGCGCACGCTAAAATGTAAATTTGAGAGGTTTCTTCGCCAAGCTGTTTTCCTAATCCAAACAAGCCGAGATATTATACAAAAGTTGAGAAACGTGTCATCCCGAGATTGGTGGGCAAAACGATGACCTCATAAACGCGCAGGAAAGAACAATCCGGCAACGCGCATGTCGCGACTGTGCGGGGCTATTAACTAGGATATAGCCAAAGGCCCTGCACCTCTCGGGTCGTCCCAGCTGCTGCTGCATCAGTCTCAAAAAAAGACCCACCCCCTCCCCTCCCTTCCGGTTGTCGCCGCTTACTTAAAGTTTGCGAGCTTACGAAGGTCCCACAGCTTGATGCAATCGTCGCTGGCAGACGCCAGGTGGTAGCCGTTCTCGCTGAATGCCAGGCAGCGGATTGCCCCTGCATGGCCCTCGCACGCCGCCACGGCCTTTTGTTGCCTCACCTCCCAAATCCTGAAGAGCAGGAAGAAGCACCGCGGGCAAGTGGACACGGTCCCGCCGCAAATAAACAAACCATCATGGCATGCATACAAAGAATCGAGATAGACCGGCGGAACCAGGGGGATGCGGTTTTTTTCAAGAAGCGAACACGATGCGCAACCACAGGCCGTCATTATATCCTCATCACAGCTCCGGTTTCAAACAAACTGACACTACCCACATTGCCTTGCCTTGCCATCCAACAAATTTAAAAGATTGGTTCTTATCCCATTATTTCCCCGCAAACCCTGTAGCCTAACCACACGAAAAAAAATCGCGGTCATGTGTGTGAACAGAAAAAGGTCTTCGGGAAACAAAGTACCCTGAAATCAAGTGCTTAAATGGCTAAAACGCAGAAGTCGCACATGCAAACGCACCTGATCGCCTTGGTCTCCGTGCCTGTTCCCAAAATGAGACCGTCCGGATGGAACTGAAGACACGTGTACGGCTCACCAGGACCCTCATCCGCACCCACCTGCAGGGCAAACCCCATGTGCAGTTCAAAGGTGGCGCTTGACACGCGTCTACGCATTTATGTATTCGGCAGCTCAGCTGCCGCTTTAACTCTTAAATGCCAAAAACGAGGGTCCATCACAACTTTTCTGCGTGCTTGCGTGCTTGCATGCGAAACAAAACAAAATCTCCAACGGACCTCGCCTATTATGCTCTGCGTAGGAATAAGTAACAAATGCAGCACATCCAATATAGAGATATACATTGCGTGCAGTGTGATGCAGCACATTTATTTAAGCCTGTGCGCTTCCAGCGATTCTACCGCAGTACTGACACCAAATCGCTTCGTCCAGCCCGGCCGATAGAGAGCAACCCTGTCTTGGCGCTTAAAAAACACGGTGCTCGGGTAACTGTTCACGGTGTTCCCTTATAACAACACAATCCCTTGAAGCACGCACCTGGCGCAGGCACGTAACCGTCTCCACGTCGTAAAACGCCCACGACGCGTCGGCGCTTCCGGTCACAAAGTACCGCCGGCTGGGGTGCGACGTGACGCCCACCACCTCGGCCGAGTGGTCGCGGAGCACCGAGGAGCATTGCCACGCCGGCCCCCCATCCCCGCCGCTGCCGCTGCGCCACACGCGGGCGGTTTTGTCCGCACTGGTGCTCACGATAAGCTCCGAATTCATAAAGGCCACGCCCGTGCAGCGCTTGGTGTGGCCCTCCAGGCTGCTCAGCAGGCGCGCCTGTAAGTTATGGGTTGTGTCTTATGAGTGGTGTAGTAGTAAGGTTTAGAGCCTTTTTAACGTTCGCAGCGTGTATCCATGCCAGCATGAGTTGGCGCGAACGCAAAAGCGAGCTGGCCCAGCGACCGAGGATAACATGCCTGCGATCGCTGTTCCCTGTCTTCCCTAGGTTGCCCCAGACTGACCCAAACGCGCATAAGCGCAAGCACACATAGACAGCATAATGCGGACCCCGGCAACCTTGCTTTGCGTCTGCCACTTTCTTCATCAACATATCCCCGGATACATCTTCCCAGATGCGAGTATGAGATGGCAGCGGCGTGTTTGGGTGCTTCAGCCGCACCTGCAGGTAATCGAACAACTGCAGCGTGCCGTCCAGACCAGCCGTCGCGACAATGCCCTGCTGCTGTGGGTTTACGTCCAGCGCGGCAATCCCTCCTGCTGTGGTCTTATGGAGAGGATGCGATCCAGACAACGTGAGGGACACCAGATCCTCTGCTGTTGCGAGGCTGTCCGGCAGCGGCCGCTTCTTGCGGCCCTTGCTGAGCGTCGCGTTGACTTCCGCCATATCTGCAATGATGTCGTCCGGAATGCCGCCCTTTGGCTTGCGGCCACCCTCCGCCTCTGGCTTCGCTTCCGCAGCTGCCTTGGCGATAGCAGCTTGGGCAGCCGCAAGCTCGGCAGCGTACTGCTGCTTCATTTCCGTAAGGGCTGTGCGCGCCTCGTCGCGCTCCTTCAGCAGTCGTGCAATGACGCGCGTGGCTGCGTCATGCTGGTAGAGAGCATGGCTGAGCTCCTGGCGAGTCTGGTGCAGCTGCGTCCGTGTGTTGTGTAGCTCCAGCATGTTTGCATCCCACTCATCGTGGAACAGGCTAAGCAAACCCGGGATGCTCGTTGCTGGCGCAGTCCGAGGCTTGACGGTTTTATTAACCTTCAATGGCAGCAGGTCCTCCAACGACAGGGCTTCCCCGGTGACGGGACATTTCCCGGTCTCGCGCACATATTTTTCGATCAGTGACTTTTCGAACAAATGGCCAGACTTGACGCTGACCACGCCCTGCTCAGGGACGGTCCCTGATACTGAGCAGAACATGGAAGGAGCAGCCGCTGCCGGTCAAGCGAGGACCGCTCCCCACACCGATCCGCAGATTCAAGCACGCTAAGCCGGCAGCATCCACGACCCTGAAGGTTGATAATGGGCAGTACGATGCACAGGAAGATAGCAGTATGACGCTCTCTATGCCAACAAAGGCGCGAAGCGCCCAAAAGCGCCGCCAGATGCCGAGAAGTCAAGAGCCGAGCCGTAAGTTACGCAGACGCACCTTCTGCTCCTGTAAGCGTAGCACGCAAAATGCACAAAAGGGTAAACAAGGACCCGCCAGAAACAAGTCGAAGAACGGACTAGTAAGCCTCCAAGAACAGATACTATCGTTAACGTGATATCGAGATAAATTCTCGGTTATGCAAAATTGACCCCTGTGTGCGTCCGTAACATTTGGACGTCGGTTGTCCTGGCGTGCCGTATGTGTAAGCAACCGTTGTCACGACAGGAGATTGTAATAAACGCAACGGAGGTCTCAATGCTCACAAACGTGTTCACTAAGCCCTCAAAACCCTTGGCGCATTAAACTAGTCCACGCGAATACAACAAACTGTGCCGATACAGTTACTAGACTCACTCCTCAGCTCCCCATTCCAGCAATCCGACCTGGCGCCTTCCCTCCCAGCTTGACAGGGGGACAACCTTAAGACACTTATATCTACTCACATGGCATCATGTATTGATTAAATAAACAGCCAAGCTAAGATGCCGTGAAGTTAAGTCCCACGCAAGACCGTTCAGCGTCCGAAACCCGTTTACTAACTGCTTTACGAACGGGTTTCGGACGTGGACGTTTCCTGCTGTACGCGTCAGCATTTCTGCTGTAAAATCCGGCATGATGCTGCAGAGATACCGCAAGCCGTTTCACCGTTTTGGCGGTTGCACTTGAACATATGTACTTACCTTGATGTCTCGGAACTACGAATTTAGCCCTAATCTGCACTGTATACGAACCGTCTATCTGGTGCTGACGCCACCTCACTGTACCTGAAACTGCGGCTTTGTGGTGTTTGCCGTTTACGACCCCTCGTAAGACGGGTAGGAGGGTCAGAGAGGGTCGTTCTTCATCCTTATAATAATCGAGGCCATGCGCAATGCGCTCCGAAACCATCTACATCGTACGTCACGCATACAGCTACATGTCTTACCGGATGCCATCATTGCGCATTCGAAGCTGTCTCAATAGCTGACTGACAGTGCGGACTTCGACGATGTTTTGCTTGCGGAAGGAAAACAGCTTACACACCACTTCACCTTTGCCACAAAATCACCCACATGGGTAGAGCAATGCAATCCAATGTGTTAATTGTCAAAAGCGTCAGAAGCCGCGTCAGAAGTAAAAAACAAAACCTTGGCAGCACCTTGGCTCCGAAAGCAACTGATGATGCTCAGCTGCAACAGCCCCTCCCCGCCGTAGAAAAAACATTTCCGACATCTTTTGCGCTCATCTACCCTAGGCACACAACCCCTCTTGGTTTCGGCAGCCTCCCTGCCTCCCACCCATGCAGGATCCTGGCCTCTATAGCTTGCCCGATTCTCCGCGCCGCCACCATAACCTGACAACACGCTCGCGCCGCCACCACCGCATGCATGAAACGCTCCTCCTCGTGGAGCCTCAACAAGGAGCGCGAACAGCTCAAAAAGAAAAGCTCAAAAAAGGCCAAAGCAGACAGACCTCTCCTACACGGTTCCATCCTCACATCGCGTGCATACAACGCCGCGTGTGTGCAACGCCGCGTTTGTAACTGATTCCATGGCATCCGGATTCAGGATCCAGAATCAGGATCCAGGATTTCCTTGGCCGCACATGTAACGGTCTCACCGGGCCCATATCGTTACACAGCAAAGCGATGATTCTCTCCCTCCGCACACACACACACACACATACATACACACATACACACACGCGGGCCCCATCCGCCAATCGGGGCAAAAAGGGTTCTCGAAAACGATTTCGCTCGTTCGCGGGGTCGTCGGATCCAACACGGATTCAAAATGGATCCACCACATCCATCAATCCCCCATTTCCCCCTCTCCCCTCAGCCCTCACCTCCCCCTCGTGTATCCAGGACAGCCGAGGCAACCCTTCCTCCCTCTCCTAAAATTCAACAATTTTGGAAATCATAATTGTAATAAAATATACCAGAGCCCGACAGCACCGCAGATCCAGACACCCTTTTTTGAAATCCAAATCCGTACGTCCTACGGCTGAGGGTGGCCCTCCCTTGTTCCCACCATGTGTGTTTGTGCGTGTGCGTGTACACCTTGAGTTGTACCTTATTGGTCTATGCCAACACCGGCGCCCGGACTCCGCTGCTGGCAGTAGCAGCTGTTGCAGCTGGGGCGGTCTTGGCGTGTATTTGCCCCGACTGACGAGCGAGCTCGCAGAACAACGCCACAGAGGACTCCGGAGTGCCCTGTGCACGTCGAGCACGTCGGAATTTGAAAAATAGCATCAGGGAAAGCTCTCCATGAGTTGTGCATTTGATGGGGCTCGAACTCAAGACGTATGTGGTATCCTGTCGCGCGTGTCCACCGATGCCCCTGATTCCAGTCTACCGGTTGAGGACACAGAACTTTTCGCGCTGAGTTGGAATCGCAAATTTTCGGACAGCAGAAAATGGACCACAGGTGTCCTGCTTTCCAAGCCACATGCAAAGTTGGCCTCCCATGTTCCTCCCCCATCCCGCATCCCCACCCCACAGCAGCAGCACTCGCCCGAATATCATCAATTGCACAATTGCACGCCTGATTGTTGTGTCTGGGGATGACGTGTTTGGACTCCTCAAAATCATCGGGCCCGAAATGCAGGCACACGCCCCGCAAGCCGCTTCAAGGATGCGGCTGCCGCCTTCCAGGCGCCTCTATTTCCCCCCAGCCCAAACAAGCGCGCAAACACATGCAAACACACGCACATACGTCATCCCCTGTCTTCATCTCCCACCCCACCCAACCCTTCCGGGATGGTGGTGAAAGTGAAACCCCCCGCTCACCCCACCCACGCCGTACCTGTACGACACCATGCCCCACGTTGAGGATGTGTCCTCGGGGTCCAGCGGCCCTCAAGCAGCGCTCCACCTCGACGCGGATGTGCTCTTCCGGACCGAACAGCGACATGGGATCAACATTGCCCTGATGACAGAAAAAGGGGAATAGAGAGGAAGACAGTACAGGGGCGGCGAAACAGGAGGAGGAGGAGGCGGAGGCGGAGGAGGCGGAGGAGGCGGAGGCGGAGGCGGAGGAGAAGGAGGAGGCGGAGGAGGAGGCGGAGGAGAAGGAGGAGGAGGAGGAAAAGGAGAGTGGGATGAGGCAAATGGCGGAAAGTAATGAGGGAGAAGAGAAAATCCAAAGGTGCCGACGTGCCGACTCTCAGTTCCACAAACCCACACAGGTAGCACCCACCTGCACTTTGACGCCATGTCCGAGGGTGGCCCTGGCGTCCTTCATGTCCACCGCCCAATCCAGACCCACCACATCAGCCGCCGTCTCCTTCATCAGCTCCAGCTTGCCTTTGGGGGGCAATTCCGCGGAGTGTTGTTGGTGTTGTTGTTAAGTGTTGTTGGTGGTGTGTGGTTGTAACAGTGTTATTGGTGGTGATTGGTGGTGATAATGGGGAGGGGCAGATGTACGGCAGGCCCGGAACAAAGCTAGGTCAGGTGGACAAGTGAGGACAACATCAAAAAAGATATCCAAGAGACGTCCTAAACTGCGTTGCCAGATCAGACCACAAGCCTGATCAGGCAACAGCTCGCCAGCCAGATCATAGAGCATAAGACAGGAAAGGTGACATTGTCAATAAACAGGAAGGAGATGGGAGGAGATGAAATACAAGATGCAGAGATCTGAAATCTGAGGCCCTCCCATCGTACGACAAAGATCTCCTTTCTAACCAACACACTCAACTCAACCACCAACCATCAACCAATCAACCAACCAACCACTCGTACAACAAATCAATGGGAGTCAACAGAAAGACCTAACCAACACAACCACACGCGCGTCATAGCTCACGCAGACGCACCCGTGCCGCCGTTGGCGTGGAAAATCACCGGGACATGCGGGTACTTGGCCTTGAGCGCGCGCGTGATGCGCTCTGCGTACGGCATGCTGAACTCGGCAAACTGCGCCGGCGACAGGTGGTGCGCCCAGCTGTCAAACAGCTGGATCACCTGCGTGGCACCAAAATTCAAATTCAAAAAACACCTCCTTTTTAGATGTTCTTTACATTTTGTACGACGTTACCTACCTGCGCGCCGCTCTCAATCTGGTAGCCGGCGTAGACAATCAACTGCTCGGTTAGGAAGTCCAGGAACGAGTGCAACAACGCTGGATTGTGGAACATTATTTTCTGCAGGAAGGAAGTGGCAGCAGAAGCGTGTTATATAAGGGATATTATAAAAGGTTGCTGATGATGAGCGGTTGTTTGGACCTACTATTCAAACATGTAGTACATGGGCAAGAAGGAAGGGCCCAGCCTGCCATAAGCGCCCATTCCCTATATCGCCTTCTCCGTCCATTCACAAACATTATCCCGGGCCCCTTAACACGCGACATACATACATGCATACACACTCCCACACACGCACCCACACCTTGGTTTCCTTGCAGTCCTTGTCCGCCTTGCCCTCCATGGCATAGGCCGCCAGAGTCCAGGGGGTACCGATGAAGCCCAGCAGCGTCACCCCCTCGGAGTCGGCCTCCTGTCGCAAGGTGGATAGAATCTTCTGGATGAAGGGTAGCCGGGAGGCGGGGTCGGAGAGCGGCCTGCGGACACATGTACCCGATACCACGGCGTTACGGAGGGGAGAACAGGGAGGCAGCGGTCGGGAGATCGTGGAAAAGAAAGAAAGGAGGAAAATATCAAGATTAAAAATGTGTGTGTAATGGAGGAAAGGAAGTTGGCCTGAATATAAAAAATGAAAGTATAGGCGATTTTGGAAAAGTGGAGGAAATCGGGAAGGTGGGGAAAAGGATTCGTGTGGAAGCTTTTTAGGTGCACAGTGGTAAACGTGCACATGGCCCAACTCCTGAACATCCAGTCGAGACAGCGTGTATGAGAGAGAGCGAGAGTGTGTGCGCGCGCGCGCGTGTGTGTGTGTGTGTGTTCTGTTATGCAACGTTCCGGGCCTGAAGCGCGCGCGCTCGCGTGTGTGTGTGTATGTGTGTGTATGTGTGTGTATGTGTGTGTATGTGTGTATGTGTGTGTGTGTGTTTCCATCTCTACACCCTCGCCAAGCCAATGGGACCTTTTTCAGACACGTGTAATTGCGCCTATGGGTTGCATATCCCACAAAGAAAAACTACCTTTCCTTCTACTACTCCTCCTCCCTCCTGAACCCTTGAAACGGGCTCCATTAACTCCGGCCCTCTATGGTATTGAACCCGCTGGCAAGCGCATATTCTGGTCTTACCCTAAGGGCCCTACCCTAACCCTACCCTTGCTGGGTTCGACAGTTCCCCACGCCTCGGAAAGACCATTGACCGTTTTTGAGCAATGTAAATTAAACGTAACTGTAATGTTTAGTTAGTTGGTTCGTTAGTTAGGACTGGGAGTTATGCTTACACAAGTTGCCGCAGATGTTCTGCGGACCGAACTGGGTTGGCGATGACGGGGCCCTTGCCCTTAACCATGTCAAACTCAATGCCCATGCCAGGCAGCGGCGTGAGGATGTCCGAAAAGAAAATGATGCCATCGGGGCGGAAGGCGCGCAGCGGCTGCAAGGAGAGCTCGATGGCGATGTCGGGGGTCTCGGAGCGCATCCGGAAGGGGTACTTGTCCGAAAACCTGCAGCCATGAAGTATATACGCGATTTGGGATTTGGGTCGGATTTAGATCTTCAGATATATATTTGGGTCGGATCTTTTACAATGATCTTCAGCGCACGCAAGAAAACATGAAATGATTGCAGGGTGACGGGGCAGCAGGCGAGGCCCAGGCATATCGGGGGGTGGGAGGTTTGGTGGATCTGTCCTTGACTGCGCTCCAGTCAACGTCGTGATCTGAATGCTCGGAACTAAAGGCCCAGTCAGGGGGGTATGCAGGAAGGAAAAGTAGGTCCCCAGAAACTTACTCCCTGAAGGCAGCCATGTAGCGACCCGCCTGCCGCATCAGCCACACCGGCGTCCTCTCAGCATCTGGGCGACACGCAATGCAAGATAGTTACGCGGTAATGGACGAAAATTCGCATGATGGTGATGTATGCGCGAGGTGAAGAGCCGTCGTCATGCGTAAGCGGCTCATGAGACTCGCCTTCGCCCCTTGCAACGCGCAGCAACAGTGGATCTTGCGCACCAGCCGCCTGACAAGCCATGCTGCAAATCCGTGCACGCGGTGCAGTCTGGTTCGGCTTAAACGGCTGTCCGCTGCAGCGCTGGGAGCTCGCCGCTTGCCGCATTGTGCTGGATTGCATTTTTAAAGCTATCGTAGTGTGTTGATGCTTTCAGTGTGAATTTCAGCGGGTTGCAACGTATCACTGACTTGGTGCTTGCAGATTCGGGGCGAAAGTGTCTGAAAAGATTTCAAAACTCGTTGACTCCTTAGGAAGCTAAGCTAACAGCAAGTCACATGTTGATGTCGTTCTGCCTAATCAAAATCTGAAATCTGTTGTCCATACGGCACAGTACGGAGTTAGTTAATCCAGAGTAGCCAGCTGCTTCAGAGGCGCAGTTCGGCGTGGAAATGAGTTGAAAATAGTAGTGAGAATTCAACTGAATCCTGCTAATTTTGATCGCTGTGTTGCTTCTCCTCGGTCCATTTTCCTTTCCATACGTTAGAGTGGGATGCGTAAACTGCTTGAAACTCGAACCTAATATTGCTATAAATTATTAACATGGTAAAAACAGCTGTGAAGGTGTTCTTGCGGACGCGTCCCACAGCAACAAGCGGCTCTGGCATAAAGTAGGTTGTGATTTTGCCTAGTAGAAGGGTTTGCAACTATGTCGTTCATGCCTACAGCACGACACCATCCAAACACTCGTGGGCATGTGCCTCCACATGTGATATCTACACCATGGTTAACCTTTTACGATGGGACTTACCAATACCAGTACGATCTAGTACTTAGTTAATGCTCTTCACCAGTCCAAGTCGTGTTGGCGTTGGGCCCGCAGGATTGGTCAAGATGGGCAGTCCGTCTCCGTCAACGTGCCAAAGGACCAATCAGCGGGTCTCATCAATAACCAACAGGAGATGTTCTCGTTCAAGGTGGATACTGTACAGTTGCTGATAACTGGGCGATTGGTGGATTCTAGGGCGGGGTTGGGGCCCTAACGTTCCATCGCTCCACAAGATGTAAATCCTGTCACCCAAGGACAGAGGAGAGGGCAGAGCAAGTTCCTTGCAGGCGATATTATGACATCACGCCCATGGCCCCTTCAGCACGGCAAATTAATATCGCACACAGCAATGGGAAAGCGGCCGGATGCACCGGCAGTGCCAACGCGGCGACCTGCCAAGCCCTTCGTATTAGTGCCTTGAGCTATCCAGCTATCCGCCACGCTTTTTTCCGTGTAACCCTCCTATCCCTTTCCTTGCCACCTCGTTCCCGTGCCGACGATGTTCGAACCTCAATACCGACACCGCACCTCTCCACACCCAGCCGAACCCACCCCACCCCTACACACCGCACCATCCACGTCTTTATCCCCTCAATCCTCACCCCTTCTCCTGCTCTCCGCATCTCTCGCCACACCCACACCTCCCGCCGTCCGCCTTTCTGCCACCCCCAACCCCCTCTCCCCCCATCCCCACGGTCACCTCGGCCACGTCGGTCGCCAGTTCGACGGTGTGCTTGAGAATGTGAGCCAGGAGGAGGCGTACACCACGGTGGCGCATGAGGTGGTGGACAGCCTGATGTCCGGATACAACGGAACCATTTTCTGCTACGGCCAGGTGGGACGAGCAACCGAACTTGAGGGATACTGTTACTACTACTGCTGTGCTGGGAGGCGTGGGTGCTACTGCCGGGCAGGTCCGTGCTGCAACTGCTTAAGGGACGTAGGGAACATATGGGTTCGTGTTGGGTTTTGTGGGAGGTAAGGGAGGAAGAGGAGAAGCGGGGCATTGAAGGATGGAGTTTTGGGGGGAAAGAGGAGAGAGTGACCGCAGATGGTGCAGTTCACGGTGACCCATGGGTCGTTAGCCCCTCTCCTGGTTTCCAGACCTCCCCGTTCCTCCTCCTCACAAGTGGAGCGGGATACGTGCGGCCCAAATGGAGAGCTCTCCCACAGAGAGGCGGGAGGTATTCGTGTCTTGGTAAAATCACGGCTGACCCATGGTTCACTTGTTCGAAACGTACGCAAGTGACCCACATTTTGATACTGTATCCACCACTGAATCCAACATTTTGGGGCCAGTTGGGACAGGTTGTCGAGCCTAAGTGGCCTAACTGGCGCAGACCCATTTATCAGACCCACTTCATTTCATTAGCATTTGTTAGCTGTTGCTAACCCCCCAACGAAGGCCTTGCTTGAGAGGCCTTGGTCTTCACCACTTCTTGGTCGCGGGACGCCGTGTATATCATCTGTGAAGTAATCGGATCGCATCCTGGGCCCCTAGCCCCCCCCCAACGTCACCAGCACCATCCCACGTTTAAATCATCACATGGTGACCTTCTTGGTGGCCGTGGCGCGTGATTCCGAGGGCTCGTTAGCCCCCTACCTCTCCCCCCCCCGCTGTCCTTGCCTATGCTCTGGTATATGTATGCTTCAATCGTCAGTGGTTCGTCTTTGCCCCCTCTCCCCAGCCCCCTCTCATTTCGCCCGAATCCTTAAACCTCCCCCATAACCTCTTTTTCCTTCAATCAACTACAGCTAACCTTCCGAACGTGCTGGCGGTTGACTTTTTCGTTTCTTCTTGCATTATTGTAATCATCATTTCATCATCATTTCATCATCATCATCATTTCATCATCATCATCATTTCATCATCATCATTTCATCATCATCATCATTTCATCATCATCATTTCATCATCATTTGATATGATGATGTTCCCCTGCCCCGCTGCCCCGCTGCCCCCCCTACGGTGCAGACCGGCGCCGGTAAGACGTTCACCATGTCGGGCGGCAATGCGGGGTACGCCCACCGCGGCATCATTCCACGCGCCCTGCACCACATATTCAGGGAGATCGACCTGAGAGTGGACAAAATGTTCCGCGTGCACGTGAGTACGGCAGTGCTTCGAGTACGGGGCCGGTAGGAGGCGGGTGGGCGGAAGGGATTGGAGGATTTGGAGTGGGTTTGGGGGGGGGGCCGAAAGGGAAGGGGAAGGGGAAAACGCGGTCATGACATATTGGAGGCAGGGGTGTCGACGGCGGCTGTGTGGCGAAGGAGTATATAACTTGGTTTCGCAGAACCCCCAGCAGCTAAAAAGTGTGGGTTTGAACCTCAGTATTCAAGCCGACGGTACTGATGCCGTACACTTATCCCGTGTAAATATCAGGTATCGTACCTAGAAATCTACAATGAGCAGCTGTACGACTTGCTGAGCGAATCACCTGGGACGAGCGACTCGATGGCGGTGCTGGAGGACTCGAACAATAACGCCTACGTGAGTGCACAGCTGCGGTTTGCAGTTGCAGTTGCAGTTACGGTTGCGGGTTCGTTAATCCTAGTTTATGGGTTTCTCACGGATGCCGGTCTAGTGGAGCCATGGTGTGTTTTCCTGACCTCGCCCCCCTCCTTCCCGAGCTAGTCACTCGATTCGCAATGGCCACGTCGCCGCCATATGACTACTTTCCAAGTCATGAGTTTATTGGTCAGTAGCTTACTTAGTATTCCTGATGCAGCAGTTGAAAGCTTCTCCTGGACTCCTGGACACTCTATATCCATTTATTACCTCTGGTATCTCTCCTTCAGTCGCCGGTGGTTCATAGTCTTACCCTGCCCCCCCTCCCCCTCCTCCTCCCTCCCTCCCCC